GCATCCTTGAGGGAAGCCATCTTTATTGGAGGATCTTCAGTAACAGTTTCAGTCGACGCCAGCGTTTGGGGGACTTCTTCAAAATGTTGACACGGGGTTTCAATGAACTCCCCATCCATTTCCACATACTGAAAAGAGTTGAGGTGGCTCACCATGTATTCCTCTTCTCCTTGTACTATAACAATTTCCCCCTTCACTGGGTATTTCAGCATCTGGTGGAGCGTAGAAGTTACTGCCCCAGCTTTGTGGATCCACGGGCGACCCAGCAAACAAGAATAGGATGGCCGAATGTCCATCACATAGAATGTAGACGCGAAAATCTGAGAACAAACCTTAACTGGAATATCCACTTCTCCGTGTACCATCCTCTTGGACCCGTCAAAGGCCCTAACTACAATGTTGCTTGGCTTCAGTACCAACCCTTCACAGTCCAACCGGTCTAACGCCTTCAGTACCAATCCTTGGTGAATCATGATCAACCCTTGATCAAATGATGAAATATACTTCAAAATAAGAATGTTGACAAAAAATCTTGAAGTTTGACTGTATGTAGGTCACAGTTGACTTTTGCCCTAGCATAGTCGACTTTTGGACCTTTGCGCAATTGACTGAGCAAACTTCCTCTGCAAGGCCTGAAACTTGACATGGATGATCTTGAGAACATATTAGGAAATTGGTGAGCACTTGGGGTCACTTGGACTCAAGGATGTTGATGCAACATGAAACCCTAATTTAGGGTAGACTGCCTTAGGAGAGAGCTTGTCTGGCCAACCCTTGGACTACCTTGAGCAACTTGAGGATTTTTCTTGAAATGTTTTGAGAAATATGGGAGGGAAAATTTTGGGTTACAACAAAAGTGAGCAAGCAACTAGGAATGTTTCTACCTACTCAAAAGTCTTTGTTATTTTCCTCCTTTCCTTTGATATTGCTATCTTACCATTGATTGGTAAGAAGCCTTATCTTTGGATGTAAAAGGGACGGGTGTGAGTCATCGTATAGTCATGATAGCAATGTTGTGAGATATATTAGCATTTCTCTTTCAGGGACTAATATTATTTGAAAGGCAACATTTGAAGCGTCATCGAGGAACTATGATCTTGTATTTTGATTGTTTTACTAAAACGTCTCTCATGCATAACATGACCATTTTTTAGGCAACAAGTGGAGTTACCCTAAGGATGCATGTGTGAATAGTGTGTTTGATTTGCATGCATTTAATCTTTGATTAAGGGTTGTCTACTTATTTATTTTATCTTCCCATACAAATCCTATTTTACTAGCATTTATATGAAAGCGATAAATTGCGGAAGGTAAATATTCTACGCTATTACAATCATTAGGGGGATGAGGTGTACAAATTTACAAATGGGGATTGCAAGAAATTAAAGTCCTAATTATCTATTACAACCATATTCAAATAATGTATAAGAAATGTCAAAATAGACTTGTTTTGTTTTGGTTAAGAGAAGAAATAAATAGGCTTAGGAAAATATTTTTAATCTTTTTTTTGTTTTAAAAGAAAATAAAACAAAGTGTATGAATATAAAGATATTTTTGGTGTTTTGATTAATGAAAATAAAATGATGATAAAAATAATAATATGAAAAAGGGTCAGAATCAGCACATTGCTGAAATAAGAAGCTCTGACTCTGGTGCGCTGCAAGTCAGAAGGAAAATGTTAGCAGAAAAGGGGACGGTCAGAAGTTCTGGGTCCGGATACACTAAAGTTCTAGGGTTGCTGGGAACAAGGGAAATCCTAGAAGTTCTGATGCAACTGGCAGCTTAGAAGTTCTAATATTACTGGGAGGTTAGAAGTTCTGGTTATTGAGAGAGTCTGGAAATTATGATGCAGTTGGAAACCTAGAAGTTCTAGTGTCACTGGAAAGCTAGAAATTCTCATAATGGATATGTGAGGTGTCAATGTTGTTGGATGGGAATGTCTAGAAGTTCTGGTTCAGGGTCACTATTTTGACAAATAAATGGGAGGGGTTTTACCTAGAAGTTCTGATCCAACTAATGGGATAAAAAATGCCAGGAGATAAACATAAAAAAAAGTGTTTCTGGGGTTAGAACTCAGGACCCTTAACACTAATGTTTTATGCATGCGCTCTCTACCATTGGGGTAGTTATACATCCGGTATTAGAAGCAAAAATATAAACATATATCACAAAGTAAGTTCTGATGATGAACTTCATCTCTTTCTCCTTGCCATTCAGGGCATCTGCAGCTTAGCCATTTCTCAACAAAACAGAAAATGCAAACATAGCAATTATGGAAAGTTTCATCATGATTTCAGAAATACAAAGTATCAAAACTGTAAATCAGAAGCAAGCATGAATTTTTCTAATCCTAATTCTGGATCCTAAGTTCCTCAAGAAGTTCTCAACTGAAACTTTCTCTACTTAGACAAAAATACATGAAATCTATAAGTATATACAGAATCAGAGCCAGGATGTCTACATTGTATTTTTAAACATGCAAGCCTATCAATGCCTAAGTAATGAGATACAAATCAGAAGAAATTTACCTTGCAGCTGGAAATTGTTTTGTGAGCTAGAACCTGGTTCTGACTGTGGCGATGCTCTGATCAGGTTCCCTCAATTCTCAGAAAGCTAGAACAAACCTTAAGTATTTATCAAACAGAAAATCTGAAATATGAGATTATGTATCATAGCTTAATCTGGATCAGCAGTTCAGCATCATCGCAACTTAGAACAAATATCCAATCTTCTGATCTTTGAATCTCCTTGCTCCAGTATGTTCTGAAGGAGTTCTCAGACTTTTCAGAAAGCTTGTATCATGCTTTGCAAACCTTCTTTAAATTACCCTTGCAAATTCTGATTGAACCTTTGTGAAATCTAGCCCAGAAGTTCTAACCAAAATCTGTTCTTGGAAATGCCCAGAATTTAACTGAGTGCTTTAGTTTCATGGACGTGTCTTCAAGGAGTTATAACTTGAAATCCCAGCATTTCTAGGAGAAGTTTTGTTCTGTAATGTTTTAGATGTCATTGAGATCTACAACTCTGGTGTTAGAAGTTCTTCCAGAATCAACTTGCATCAAGGTGAACATCTGGTCAGAAGTTCTGAACTTATCATATTTCCTAAACACTTAGAAAAATTTCTAAGTATTTAGAATTTTGACTTTTCCAAAGTAATTTTGACTTTTAATTTTCTTGATGAAACAAACTTCATATTTCAGCATGTCTTGATGAAACATGATTCTTGAAACTTGATTTTGACCCAAAAGTCAAAGTTTGACTTTTCAGTGTGGAATTGACCATTTTTCCCTTGTGGCAATTCCAACCCTAAATTGATGTATCAGTGTTGCAAACTTGATGTCATGGGAGATATTGTGAGAAAATTCTTGAGAAATGAGAGGGAAAATTTTGGGGTACAACAGCAGCCTAATCTTGCAAAGAAACTAGAAGGATTCCCGCAAAGGGAAGTTGGCCGCAAACTGGGAGGGGTCTTACCGCGTCCAATGAGCTACGGGAACCGGAGCATATTACCTCGAGCAATTGAACAGAGAACCACTACCTCGATCCTGGAATGCTGCAAAGCTAAAAAAATATTATAGCTAAGTCCCTCACCTGCTGAGGACTTTTGCCGTTGAATATTCCTCTTCAACCGACAAAGGGAAAAGCTCGACTACGTAGACGCGTCGAGGTACGGATGCGACCTCTAAACTAATAAAAGGCGAGATGTTGTTCATTTTGACGAGAAACATCCTAGCCCGACAGGGACACCTCGATCGAGCTCTATTCTCAAAGTACCCCAACATGGAAGGACACATAGCTCGCGATGGGTAGTTCATGCCATGAGCGTAGGATCCCTACCGCGATCATACGCTCGTCCCGCGGATCCCTACTTCGCGCCCTCGACACATTTCAACATGTGTCGAACAAATATTAGGGTCGAGCACACATCTCCACGTGGAAAACACGAACTTAATAGAAAAATTTATAACAACCACAACAATGGTCGAGCATATACTTCCACACATGATATACAAGTATTCATGAAATAACCAAGTCAAAAATAACGAAAAATATAAATAACAATAAGCTGGAAATAGTAAAGATAAACATCAAAACAAAGCAAAATAATTGTCTATGGCGACCACTTGGGTCAAGATGTCTGAATATTATAAATGTTAGGGGCACACAAGCCCAAATACAAATAAATGAGAAAACAAAAATGTCAATCGCTCCCAGGAGTACTCATTTCAACCTCGGGAGAGTCATGAGGGGGAACCACCCGGACATCAATCACCTGGGATAAAACTCTGGTTCCTTCAGTGTTTAATCTCGGGTTCAGCACAGACAGTTGATTCATGGTAGATTCAAAGCCCTCGGCCAAGGCGTCAATGCAGTCCGACTCTAGAAGTTGAATTCGAGCAATGAAGTCGGCACGCATACGCAAATCGGCTACACCCTCAGGTTCACCCTCCGCAGGCATCATAGCAGACTTTAGATCTGCAACCTCCTTCTCCAGCCGTTGGTTATCACTCTTCAACTGTTCTTTATCGAGCTGGAGGCAGTCTTTATCCTCGATGGCTTTCTCGGCTATCTCCTTCTCCCCCGCCAGCATGTCAGCCTGCTCGTGAAACATTTCCTCGCTTTGTTCAAGAGCGGTCTTCAGCTTGCGTGTCTTCGTCATAAGAGTATCCTTATCCGACTCCAGTTCCTTGACCCGATCGAAGGAGTCGGACCCTTCGCCCTCCAGGACAACGACCATTTCTGCCATGTTCACCACCCCGACCATGCTGGAGGCAAGGTGCTTCCTTCGACCTTCCTTATCGAGCCGCTTGATGATGTCGGACTCATTATCAGACATAGTCAAAAGGAAACCCTCGAAGAAGTCTTTTTCCATGAAGCAGGGTGGTAGGCTGAAGGCCCGGGAACCCGCCCCTCCATCAGTTACATCAGCACTTCCATGACTCCGCATCTTGCTCAACAACACGGCTTGGCGCTGGGCGTCACGAGAACCCGAGGACCCATTAGATCCTTCCCTGGTCTGCTCGGAGGATGAACCCATGCGCGTAGCTTGATGAGGTTTCACCAATCTCTTGTGGCTCTTTTTCTCCATAGTCAGCTTCAGCAATCTCTCGCGGCGCTCCTCCATGTGACCTGCAAAAACAAAGAAAATGTGTCCGAGTCAGCTTCGTCGAAGAAACAAAAGAAGGCAAACAATAGTAAAAGTAAGCAAAAAAACCTAAGAGATCCACGGCCTGCCCGTAAGATTGATACTCGACGAGCGCCTTTGTATTAATTGAACGCGCCTCGAACATCGGATCGTCGTCTTCGTCCAGGATGTTGCGCCCTTCCTGTGTGACCCATTTGGCGTGGAAGAAACCATCAACGAAATGATTGAGGACACCATATGCCTCTTCGTCTTCGACACTCATACCACTGGAGGAAGTGTGGTAATGCCCGGAACCATGATCGTAGTGGCCCGAACACCAATGAATGGGAAACTTTGAGATTCTCCCAATCTCAGGATTTCCTTCGGTGTCCAAGCAAGAATCCCCATCCTCGTCCATAATGGTAGCCGGGTCGAATAGAGAATCCAAGGTTGTTTGGGTAGATGGTTGCAAGATATAACATTTGTCCTTAAAGTCCCGGACAGAATCCATATACATCCCAAACAGCCTCTTCGATTGTTTAAGGGATACCCAACTATGTTTCTCTACTCGGGACTGCCATTGCAAGTGAAAAACCCTGAAGAACAGGGAAATGGTCGCCTCAATCCTCAGGAACCGACATGTAAGTTTGAATGCTCTGATAAAGGCAATCGCGTTAGGATGAAGTTGGGAGGGTGCCAAGCTCAAATGACTGAACACCCCCATCTGGAAGTCGTTAAAAGGAAGTCGAAGTCCAAGGTCTTTCAACACGACCTCGTACATGGGGAAGGCGTCCTCGATGTACTCCGAGCATATGCGAGCATCTTGCGCTGGTCTCAGGATTTTGAAGTTTCTCTGAAAACCTTCCTGGCCGGCTCCGTACTCGACGACTGTGTAGGCTTTCCTTCGAGTATGATTGTAGATCAATGCCATCCCTTGGGGCTCGGCACCGACCCAATATAATTCAAGGTCGTCGATTACATCGACCAAATTAATATTCTCCTCGGCGGTGCTGGTCCCTTCAGTCTCCATATTCTCTGATGATTCAGGAGTGTCAGCCATTTACCTACAAAGCAGAGGAAACTAGTGAATTTGACAGCAAATCCAAATCCACCTTTCCAATGACGTAGATGAAAAGGATAGGCAACTCTCAAACAAAGTCGACGGTCATTCGCACAAAAAGGGGAAATACATGGACCTCGACTGGCCCATGAAAATCATGCCAATCCTCTAAGATCATACAACAATCCTAACGACGAACGCCTGTTTTTCATAAATAAATCGGGCACATGAAGAATATGGCGAGCAGATCATGAATCTCACGACCAAGTTCATAAATTTGTTAGCCAAACACATGGAGATCATGGGGAAGACAAACATAAGTACCGACGAAAGGATGAATATCACGGGCATAATCACAAATCATATGCCTAAACGCATGAATTCCCCGGGAAGAACCCCCCAGATGCGAACCCATATGCGAAATCCTACTACTAAACATCATAAAAATCTATCTACGCACAGGATATCAAGGAAAAAGAATGCTTACTTGAAGAATAGATGAAGAACAACGGTGGTTAAGGAAAAGTACGGAGCGGACTCTGCGGCGGTTTCAAGGATTCTAGAAAACGGCACGGTGTTGACAGCGGAGAAAGTGGAGAGTGCGAAAATATGAAAGTAAATTATGAGCCTTAGAGCCCTATTTATAGAGCTGACATGGAATGTGAAACGTCGCGTCGGGCAGCTCACAAGCCGTCTTTCTCCTCGACACCTACATGCCTAGTCAATGATGATCCCTATTTCCTAGGCCATCATTGTTATCCCAAAGGTCACGCCACGTGTATGACAAATGTACTACCTCCTCCCCGCGAGTCGAGTAACAATTAGAATGAAGCCACCTCAATTCCTGGCTGAACAATGCTCGGGTAAACAGCATACCGATGACACTCTCCTTCATTTAATGAAATCCCTACGTCGAGCAACACACCTCGCAAAAGAACAAGTTGGAAATTAAGTCATAACTCCATCAGGAGCAACGACTTGGGGGGCTCCTGTTCTGGATTGGGTCTTCCCTTGGCCCAACTACGTGTGAGGCCCAATCCAATTGTGTCGTCCAAGGTGTGTTGGTCGATTCTGTCCTTGATACCGACGAGTAGCAACTACTCCCCACGAGGAGACATAGCTCACTGCACAGGGAGGAACCCAGTTATCCTCAGGAGGATCATCACCGGTCAGGAGGACCTCAAGGACTCACTCCAATCCTCTCCTCGACCATAAAGGTCCTATCACACGACCTCGCGATCAGTAGAGCATCCATGATGAGCAGAAGCACCTCGCGAGCATCCTACTCGTATGGATGACTATTAATGTCTCTGAATATCATGGAGTCTTCATGGCCCCGGAAAGATCGCGTCCATATCCTCCTGATCTTGCTGAACAAGTCATCCAGGTAGGGGACCACGTGCGGGTCCCCACTACTCATGTAGGACCTAGCAGTCTCTATGTTGGGCCTTCTTGACCAGCCCAATATAGAGATCTTGGCCCAGCGCTGGGGCTATAAATATCCTCTCTTTCGAGAGGGTCAGGTATTCAACAGTTTCTTACTCTCGCGCTTGCTTGCTCATTCCGCAACTTACTTTGGCATCAGAGTGTCTTGTAGGTACCCCCCCCCCCCTCCACCTCACTCAAACTCTGCTCGGTGAAGCTGTGACGGTCCATTCTGATCATGTACGATCAATTACCAAAACCAAGAGATCATGGACATCAACCAAAGATGTAAATCAAAACACGACCGGACAATAAAATCCTACAATAATAAAGTTAAACCACTACCTTTTTGCAAGAGCCAAACATTTTTACGATTTTTATCAAACCCAGGGGCTTTGATGGCACATACCTAAAGAGTAAAACCATGAAAAAAATATCAAATTAAATAAGCAAAACTAAGAATTCAAAAATTAAAATACCAAAAATTAATGTAAATTGCTGAAAATGTAAAAAGCATGGACATGGCCAGAATGTTAGAATGCATATATTTTACAGCCAAACAAAAAAAATTGTTTTAGACTTCCCATAAATAGTTGTCAATGTTACATCAGAAACAATGACACAAACACTTTGGATTCTTTGCTTTAATGTAATATATATCAATATTTCAATCTTTGGTCAGAATTACAAACTATACACACAAATTTGGGTCTAAAAGAAGTTTGAAATTTTAAGACATACCGGTGATCAAAAATAAAATTCTTTCCTTTGAAAAAACCACCGTCATGGAATTGCTTTGAGTTTGTACTCCCGCATCCATCAAATTTGAAGTTAGGTTTTCGACAACAAATTTGATTTCAATGCAATGAAATCTTTCCAACCCCATACGAAGAGGCATCGCGTGTCTTATATCATCGCTTGATTTAACTTTGTTTCAATTAAAAAAATAGGTAAAAGAAGAAAAAGAAAAAAGGAGATAAAATGAAGGAAGAGAGAAAGAAAGAGAAAGCAGACAATATGAAGAATAAGAAGAAGAAAGGAGGCGGAATGGGAAAATGAAGCGGTAGTGGATTAATGAGTTAGGATCGTGGTTGATGAGTGAGGACGGTTTGTGTACACGAAGAAACACATATGAGAAGGGGAAAAGAATTGAAAGATGATTGGTTATGTTTTGTAACCAGTGGTTTTTATGGACAACGAAAAATGCAACGAAAAGAATATACTTTTTTGTTTTGAAACATAACAAATTAAAACCTCAAATAACCTATCCACGAGTTCTGATTTTAGAACAACAATACAAAATATAGTTTTTGGATAAATATACTTTTCTTATATTATAGATTACTAACCATTCATAATATAATCAATAACTTTGATCTAATTTTTAAGAATAAATAAATCAAACAGAAGAAAGTAAAAATTCAAAACATATAAAAAAATTAGAGAAAATCAAACAAAACACACAAAAATAAAAATTAAAGAGGTTATTCTACCAAACAAATATAATAGAGAACAAAAACTTACAGGACAATAAATATTCCACTGATGATATACTTTATATCTTTTATTGCCTTCACGTCCAAAATATTTTCTAGATCTGAAAAAGAAAATAGAAGACAAACAAAAACATGAGCTTCAATCTATTAAATATCAAATCAATTTTAAATTTTCAAAGAGAAAGAGATAGAAATTTACAAGAAACTTTATATACATAAATTTTAACAAACACCAAAGGAGATAAAGTTGAAACTCTTAAATTATATCTTTGTGTTGAAGAAACACAAAAACTCAAGAACATAAAACCACACCTTAAACATTCAAATCTATCTTCAACCTGAAAAAAAATAAGTGGAAAATGTGTTAAAAAGAAGGAGAAAATATAATGATTTTGAATAAAAAATGAAGACAAGTCATATGGATTTAAGTTGGAGAAGAATTAGTGAGAGATAAGAGTGTTTGCGGTTCGATTTGGACCAGTTTTAAGGCAAAAAAACTCATCTGATTCAAAGATAAATTTTTTTACGATTTGGTTCAATTTTAGATAATATATTAAAAAATCCAATTTAATCTGATTCAATTTTATACGATTTAATTTAGATCGGTTTTTGAATATCAAAATTACACATTATATTTTTATTAATATTATAAAATTATTAATAAATTATAGATTTAATATAATATATAACATATAGTATATTAAAAGTCAATATTATAAAAGGAGAATGATCAATTATAATTGAAATAATAAAAATAAATAAATTATACTAAACTAATAAATATTAATAAAAAAATTATTATCATCTAATAATAAATTCACGTAACATATCATACTAATAAAAAGTAAATAAAAAACAAATAAATATATATATATATATATATATATATATATATATATATATATATATATATATATATATATATATATATATATATATATATATATATATATATATATATATATATATATATATATATATTGTTGCACCCCAAAATTTGCCCTCCCATATTCTCCAAGAAATTGCCAAGCCAAGCTGCAAAGTTCCCCAAAGGTGGCACAGTGCAAAGGTCTCCTATACAGTCAAAACTAGGGTTTGTGTTCTGATCAAGAAAATGAAGTTTTCAAAGGCCCAATCAAGTCTCACATGCCTACAAATATGGTCAAGTATCCTCATATCAAGTTTCAAGACATTCAGCTCAAAATTGCACAGTCAAAACCCTAAATTGCACTACAGTCAACTGTAGGGGCAAAATGGTCATTTGACAGTCAAAAGTTCAAATTTTTGGTCAACATATAATTTTGAAGCCACAAACATCATTTGATCAATGCTTGATCATGATTCTCAAAATTTGGCTCAGAAAATCATCAAGATGCAAAAGTTTCCTTATTTGGACAGCTGAAAAAGTCAACTGAAATTGACCAGGGCATAACTTTCACATGGATTATCAGAAAAATCCCATCCAAAGCTCATTTTGAATAGAAAGACATTTCCTACAACTCATCTTCATACTTCAAGTCCAAGAAATGCTCTCACAAAAAGTTATCAATTTCAACATTATAGGTCATTTTCAAAAGTCAACAAAAAGGGACTTTAAGTCAAAGGCCATAACTTGAGATTGGTAAATCAAAATGACATGGGACCAAAGACATTGGTTAGAGGACTCAAAGACCTTTCCAAAATGTCCAAGAACATGAGAAAAGCTTAAAACTTGAGCAAGTTATGCCTTGTGGAAGTTGGGAAATTTTTGGATATTTTGAAAAGTCAACATTGATTCAAATGACCTAAAAATGCTAATGGGCCCATTTTTCTTCCATGATTCATCATTCCAAGCATGTGCACGACCACTTGGCCCAAAGGTAAGTATTTTCTCATTTTTTATTTATTTATTTGAATTATTATTTATATTAATTCATTTAAATCATTTAAAATATATGAAAAATATTTAGTCCACCCTAACAAATCTTTTTATACATGTTTTGCCATCAAGATTTCGTGCACATGCTAATTAGGAAAGAATTGGATTGATTGGATGCTAATTGGCACAAGAACACTTGAAAAAGATTGAAAAAAGATCCT